TTGATATGAGAAGCATTCACATAGGATAACTCAGTTTCTGGGAATGACTGCAGGTCAGAGTGCCCAAATACAGCTGTCTCCCACCTGGCCGCAGGTACTGCATATGCTATTAATGGATGGATGTGGGCTTACTGGGGTGTACTTCTAGCATCCCTGTCTCCTATGTGGGTCTGAAGGCTTCCAGCTTGGGTGTTGTGAATCACTGCATGGCGGAGCTAATGTCTCCACTGACTCTGCTCGGGGCGGAGGCCTCTGCACCTAGCTGAAAGGCATGGTGGTAGGATTATTCCAAACATTGCATCAGTTAAGGTCAGTCTGTTCTCTTCTGAATATGCAAAGGAACTTAATGAACTTCTGAAAACTGTGTGTCTTTTACCTTTTAGACTTAGAGTGCTAAAGACAGGTTCATTGGAAAGGCACTTGTAACCTGTGGTAACATAAACCAGAACCAGACCTCAACATCTTCCTTTACTTTTCCAGGTGTTACCATTAGGCACTTCTTGATGTCTGCCCACCAACTTTGCTCCCACAGAGATCAAACTATCTACTTCTGTTTGTAGTCAATAATGACATATTCTTGAGCAGCTCAGTGGCCATCAATGCCTTTACTCACAGACTATGGTAGTACTCATGAGGAACCAGCAGGCCCTGGCCCTGAATTAGTATCAGATATTTGTGTTTCCTAGATCACATCACTCATGCAGGGACAGCAGTGTTTGGCTTTGAGAGGAGACGTCTCTAGAAAAGCCTGCTCTGAGAAATTAGACCAGTTCAGGAGGACCCCAGAGGTGGCAGGAGAGAAGATACGAGGCTTCCAGGACTATGCTTGGATTTAAATGAGACCCTATGGTCATTTGCATTAGAAACAAATTTGTTAATTTGACAAATGAATCAAATACAAGCAGGCAATCCCTCTCCTGCCAGCAAATGATCCTAAGGTTCAATGGGTGACATGTATTAGCCTTTTTCTGTGATGTAATATCACAGAAATATCTCCTTAAGATGCATTTCAGTGCATTTGGATATCTTACATGTCTTTAGGATATTTTGCAATATTATAATAACTCTGTCTGCCTAATAATATGCAACAGGATATATCTTATTTGTGTTCTATCAGTACCTACAGGCTTCAACTGAGTTTGGGACTGCTTTGCCAAGTACTATGAAAATAAATCCTGGCCTTCAAGACCATTTCCAGAGACAAGAAATAGAAAGGAAAATGACCCCAAAAGTGGTGAGTAACTTGCTGAGGTTCGTCAGTCCATCGGTGACACCGTCAAGAGTACAAAACAGATATTCTTGAGCCCAAGCCATTAGAGCACTCTATCTGCCTAGGGAGAGTTCCTCAATGTTTGTGGTTCCAGGACACACCGTGGTTTGGTATTTCTGCAGAAACATTCAGAGCTTCTGGCCAAGCATCAGAGGCTTCATGTTCCAGGTGAGTAAGGGAGCAGGAGTACAGCTCCCAGATGAGTGCTTTTCCTAAAGACAGTCACTCAAGGGCCAAAATCGGTGGGCTTTTTGCCTTTTGTGTAAATATATTATGTAAAACATGTACTTTAAAACAATAGCTACAAATGCCCTACGTTGCCTGGAGCTGGTTTTCTATTGTCTTGAGTGACATCTCATCTGAAGCATGGATTAAAGCCACACGAAGGCTGAAGTGTGCGTGGCACATAGAGATGGGAATGAGGGCTGGCAAGTGCCATTGTTCTCCTCTTTGCCTCCCAGTGAACAGTGTTTAATTCTGGTTTTGGCTGTCAGAAGAGATTAGATATCTAAATCCTGGTATCAATAAGTGGTCTGTCTGATCACTTAAGTGCAGAAAACACATTTCACAGAAGAAACCATCAGATGCATGATTAAGCCATTTGTGTATTACCACAACTGTATAGCGCACGTTTACGGAAAGTCAGCTTTTGAAAAAAGCACTCAAACAATACAAAAATAATTAAATTAACAAGAGTCCTGGGGATAAAGGATTAGTCTTCCCAGCAGGCTGTCAGTGAGGATGAAGGCTGGGTTACCAGCTCTATGTAAGAGAGGTCTTCCTAGCACAGTAGCAACACCCAGAGCTGTCCTGAGGAAGGCCCTCTCCAGGGGAACAGCACCCGAACATAAATGTTCCTCAAAGATAAATGAAAACTAAAATGTGAATGATGGGAGGAAATCAAACAGAAAAACAGTATTCCAAAAGGGGGAGAAAAGGAATGAGCTATTATTTTAAATGCTTACCAGCAGAGGACACTTCTGTTAGCTTTTGGCAGAGCAAAAGGACATTGCAAAGGAAGTCAGAAAAGTGCTGCTTTTCAAAGCACTTTACTGTCAACTCTGAAATCATATGTGTACATAGCCTCCAGAGGCTTGAGCAGAGGGATATGAAAATCTCTGCTGTGTTTTTTCTCCCAGAGGCAAGGGGAATATATTTTTCCTTATAAAAATAAGGAATCATGAAAGAAATTTCTCAGGAGCATTGTGGCCCCAGGTGTGCTGCCCTGGGGCATTCCTATGCCCAGTGGGGCAGGGCAGGCTGGTGTCTCTGCAGGGAGGGCAGCAGCCATCAGCCTCATGGGGCAACTTGACATGGGGAGAGCCTGTGTCTCCTCTCCATCACAATTAACTGCAGTCATTGCTTGTAGGGGGTTTAAAGCACACGTGTGTTGCCTCTGCTCTCCAAAAACGACACGGGAGAGGGCAGAAGGAAGATGTGCTCCTTTCCCCCTGCAGCCCTTTTCCACGCAACATGTCCAAGGCCCATGACAGAGAGGAAGGAGTTGCTCCTGCAAGGCATCCAGCAACTCGAGGTACCCTGTGCTTGTCCGCTGCAGGGGAGACAGGCTGTGCCCCCCCCCTCCAGCCTGAAGGCAGGCCATCTCCCACCTTGAGCCAGTACTGGTTCTCCCACCCTGATCCCCAGCTCCTTGCAGTGGATATCTGGGCCTGGGACCGACAGTGGCAATAATGGTCCATCTGGTGCAAATATTAAGCAAGACAAAACAAATTCAGGGAATAGTCCTGTTATGATGGGAGGGGTATGTAGGAGGGACAAAGAAGTCTGTACAAGCCCTGTTCTGGTCCAAAGGGTGAGGAAAAGTTTGGTTCCTGCTCTCCCCCTAGCTCAGAAACAGATGGAGGAGACAGCAGCTAGAAACACTGGCACCCATGGGCTATTTGCTCTCTCGTCACTTGCAAGGCTTTGGGGGGAAAAAAGCACAAGGAGGAATCATCAAGGAGGGGCTCCTGAGGTGGGGACCTCTGGGGAGCACAGCTGCTGCTCACACTCAGCATCCGCTCCCTGGGGAAGAGGCCATTCCCTCCCACCCGGCATGCTCGTCGCCTCCAGCCTTTCTGTCCCTAACTTCACACCCAGCAAGCCCCTTCCCAGTGTGTTTCTACATAGAGGATTTAAATAAAGAAACAAAAGGAAAGTATGTTTGTGGTGCTGATGTGAAACTCACAGCCCGTGCAACACCAATTCTGCTTGCACCTTAATTCATCCCTCCCTTACCTTTGCCTATACACAGCAAAGGGTCTGGCTCTCCTGCGCACTGTACAGGGACTGGTACAATGGGACCCAGCCTCAGCTGGCTGCTCTGCTCTTCGGTGATGAAGACAATTAATAATATGAGCAAAGAAGGGAGAGTTTGCCCAGAAGGAGGAAGCCAGCATGAGCAGGACCTGGTGAGCAATATCACAGAGACTTGTTTCGGCAAAGAGTAAGGTGTAGGCTAGCACAGGTCTGTGTTTTACATAAATTTTATTGTGTTTTGGAGAAGACAGTGTACAGTCAATCAGGTTACTCCAGCAGCAGGTAGTATGTTTAGTATGTGTGGTCTGGTCTTTTTCCTTCCAGCTACTCAGCATAATTCTTAGCAGGATTTTATGCTCTAAAGGGTAACTAAAACTACCAGCATCTGTGGGGACGTCTCTTCCTATTGGCATTAATGACATTTTGGGGAAAATTCCTAACTATATTCTGAAATAAAGAAGAGCCATCCTGTGTTTTTGTGAAAATTCAATAATATCTCTCTATCATTTTCTAATACAAGTATCTAAAAATGTTTTCCGTAGACAAAATGTACCGCCAGTGTTGGAGAACATTTTCTTCAACACAGAGCTTTTTATTTGTTGTAGTTCTTGTCATACATCACCATCTCAAGTCTTTTTATGAATAACAATTGAGTGGTTTTGAGTGGACAGGTTTTTTTATTCTGAAAAGAACTCTGGATTTGCAAGAGAAAAATACTCCTAATGGAGCTGCAATAGCTTTAACAAAGTAAATTTAAAAAAAAACCCTGATGGCTGAAGATTAATCATCTGACAGTGAGGAGAGTATTGCTTAAGGAAGGAACACAGACATTGTGCTTGTGAGTGCTGGCATAAGATACATCGGTCTCCATGTACTTCGCATCGCCTCCATACCATGGCACACTGCTCCCAGCCTTGTGCCAGCAGAACTATCCTCTTGTTACATTATGGTTCTGGGAGCTAAGATGGCTTTTAGATTAAAAATAATGGGTTGAGTTATTTTCCTGGCAAAGGAGACCCCCTACTGTTTTAAATTGTGGCAACACCTAGGGCAGTGCCGGCAGAGCAAGGGCACATGTGCTATGGTATGGAGGCAGGAAGAAGCAGCTGCAGAGGTGCTATAAATTGGAGTGGCTGCTGAAGACTTCTTCTGAAGTCATGGTCTTACTTTCTACTTTTCTGCATCAGTTTTTAGCCAATGCTTTTTCTCTGATGTCAGTGCAGTTATATACCTATTTTCTATAGGCAGAACTCCACTGACAAGCAAACATGGTTTTTGGGGAGTCCCTTTGCCCACAACTATCTGCAATTTCCCCTGTAATTCAAAATAAGAACTTCAGTTCCAGATTACCTTCTTGTCTGTTACAACTCCAGGTTATCATTTGTACAATTATTATAGTCAGACCTAACATTAAAACTAAGAATTGAAAAAAGCCCTATATAAACATAACACAGAGTCCATATTTCAGTCATTAAAAAACAAAAGGAATCAAGGCTTTCCTTGATTTTGGATAGTCCGTAAATGTCTTGAGATAGTACCTGAAAGAAAATAAGTAAGAGAGTGAACCTGCACGTACAAGGAAACTGCACAGTTTCAATACAGCTCAGCTGAGGAACCTTAAAACTCCTCCAAACTTCCTTGCTTTGTAACCTCTGTGTGTTACTCTGCAAAAGAGCGTTCTGAAACTATTTACACCAGGTTATTTAATTAAGTGAAAGCTGATAATACTGTTAAGGTTCTAACAGACCTAAAGTAGAAATTTGAGGAATTCAGAGCAGAGGACCATACCTACTCCAAAGGACTGCAGAGGTTGCAAAGGAACCCTTAGGAAAGGTTCACATTTACAAGGCTCAATAAAAAGAGGCTTTAACACAGCGGAAGCAGTGATGTAACTCATGTCAGATTAAATGACTGTCAGGCCCACTTAACTCAACATGGGCTCCAGCCAACTGCCTTACTTTCACCCAGTCACAAATAGATACACTTCATGTACATCATATTAAATTTCAATTTTATCTTGAGTCCTGGCTCTGTTCCTCTGTCCCTCCCTGGTATTTTGCAAACAGCACTCCAAGAGCAAGCAGCAGCATATGGCAAGAAACAGTTTGATACCTGTGGTGGTGATAAGCACGTGGCCCAATGCAGCAAAGAGTAAAAAAGGCAAAGGCGAAGGCTGGTAGGGACCAGGTTGCTATGGCAAAACCAAACCATTCTACAATTTCTCCAAAGTAGTTGGCTCCAGAAATGTAGGTGAATAGTCCCCCTGCATCAACAGACAAAATATGTAATTTTTACAGTCATCTCATGCACACGGAAAGTTCTTTCCCATAAAGTCAGCAGCAGAATATGCTACCTTTCTTATTCATAGCCCATAACAGCAACCTAAACCCACTGCCCTGAAGCCAGTGGGGCCATGCCAAAGGAGGATCTTGTACAAGGTTCGTGTACAAGTACAAGAATCAAAGGTGACTCTAACCCAGAGGCTTTCAGCACTTTCACAATCATTTATTTTTATTTGAAAAAGGACTTAAGAAATCCCATTATTAGATTTAAATTAAAATTATTAACATTAGTCAGTTCTCTTCAGGCCCCCAAAATATTTTGCAACTCCACTACCTTTGCGGAATGCAAAATCTGGATCTCAGTTTTGCAGCTTAGCTTGCAAATCACATCTACAACAGGCAGGTAACGATCGGAAGTGAGAAACTCTGGGGGAGAGATATTACCATCTGTAACAAGCCAGCAGAAGGAGTCAACACCAAAACCAGGAAACTCCTGGATCCCCGTCCATATTGCTCTACAGAGCTAGACATTTCCTGGTTTACGGCTCTGGCCCACAGCTACTCTTCCTCACCAAGCCCCACCTTGAAGGAGACGGAAAGGAAATTCTGCACCTTGCATCCTTAGTGTTATTTTTTCCCCAATTTTTACAATTTGAATCTCCCTTTTGCAGTGTAAGAAGTCCACTACTTCTTCCTGGGCATGGAGAAGAATATTTCCTTCTTTGCAGTTGCCATTTACAAGGCTAAAATCCTCTTCCTATGTCCCACTTCAATCTTCTCTAAATTACCCAGCCCATTTCCTAAAACCTCTCCTCACAGCTCGTGTTTTCCAGATACTCTTGTTGCTTCTCATGGACTGTCTGCAGCCAGCTCACACTAGTCCTCGCAGCTCAGAGGGGCACCTGAACTGAGTACCTGTGCGATACTGGCATCTCTGCTATTGTTGTTGTTTTGCTGTGAATTCAGTCAGAAAACATTATCTATCCTGCTGCCCTACTTTCTCCAAGGAGGTGGGGGATAAGAAGAATATACCTTGAGGAATCTTGTAAGTGACTTCCCCAGGTTTCCTCAGCTGGCGCAGCAGGAGATCGCTGTGAATGTTGATCCCCATTCCCAGCAGAAATAAGAGGAGGCCTAAGAAACAAACAAGAAATGGATTAGAAAGACAGCTCTGCCTAGTTATCCCTACTCAAGCACATATGTGAGGTTTATCTTTGGAGCAGGCAGATAGGAGACCTAATGTGAAGTGGGTGGATTCTTTTTCAAGTCAAAAGATGCGCTGCTACTGAGAAGGCTACTGAACAGGAGAAGCATATGCGACTGGTGACAAATTACCCTGTATCTCTGTGTCAGTTTGGGGATCACAGTCCTGTCCTCTGGGAGCACCTGCATTGGATAGCTTCAGTGTGGGGAGCAACTCTGGACAAAATGATGACCATCCTGAGCACACTGTTTTGCTGGTGAGATCAGAGCACTTTCAGAGCACTTTCAGCTGGTGTGAGAAAAAGCTGAACTTCCCAGCTGGCCATAGTCACCATTTATTGAACATCAATGGAGGGGACAAGGTACCCAACTGACTCTGCTGGCTGAGGCCAGCCTGCCACAGTTGTGGACGTTACTGCAGAGTAACCACTGAGCTGTAGGCAAGTACCATTACTCCCATTTTACAGCTGGGCAAAGAGGAGCACAGGGAACACAAACTTATCCAGCACATCACCGGAGCCAGGAAGGGAACCTACATCTCAGCGCAGCTCAGTCCACTGCCAGCAAGGCTGCTTGGACAGAGCTGTGGGCATGCACATGGAGCAGTTACTCGCTGAAGGATGCTGACAGCTTCTGGCCAGAATAATTAATTGACCATACTCCATTTAGCTGAAAAACGAGAGGCATTTGATTGAGAAACTCTGCAGGTGACATGCCCTACATTTAACGCCACATTAGGCTCTGAGAAAACCACCTCTGATAATGACTGGGAAGCACGGAAAGAAATAGAGCTGGTATGTGCTATGAAGTATAGAAAAAAGATTAAGTGCTCATAAAACCTCAACAATTCCAGTAGCAACAGAAAGTTGGTAAGAGTGTAGAGCAAGAATATACTGTTTGCTTTTTCTTTAATATTTCAAGTACTGCTAATGCTGATTTCCTTTTTTTTTCATTAAATACATATTCTATTTATCATGAAAATTATGTGATGTGGTGTTTTCTTTGTTGGGTATGGGAGCTCTTCCTAAACAATGTCCAGGATTTTTAATATGTGATGCTGTCTGAAAAGACTGAACTTGCATCCACAGCCTGAAACAGGGTACAGAAAGTACCTTGGTTATTTTGTACTTGTCATATCCAAAACATTTCCTCAGACCTCCATGTTAATCTTAATTTCTATATGTGCATTTAAAAAACATTCTCTGTGCTGCACCAAATGTGTAATGCCACCTAGCTGCTCTTGCTCAGTTATTCTCTCAGGGATTTTACAGGGTGAAATTCAGCTAGGCTATTAAGGAATATAAAGGAACCATATTAGCATACAACGAGGCTGTGCGTGATCTCTAATCTTCCCATGTGCCTCACATGAGAAAAAAGAGCCCTTTGTCTCTAAAGCCTCATTTATGCTGGGGTTTTGCCCTTCTTTTCACTCTCAGTCGAAATAGCTGCATCAAGTGCAAAGCTCCCTGGCAGGGAAAAGAAAGCCACAGTTTGCCCTTGCACACGGCCACTGCTGGGTGGACACTTCTGGCTGAGCAAGGGCACATCCCCATTCAGCTGAGGCCTGAGATCGCATCTCTGCAGCCTGTAGCAGCAGGAGACTCTGGAGCGGTGTGAGTAAAACAAGGCTGGTGATTTGAGACTAACACATAACATTATAAGCCTTCAACGGTGGCTGCCTAGCAAAAAAAAAAAAAGTCACTGCACATTTATTTGTTTTATCTGGGCCAGCAGGCAGGTTTTATGCTGATTTCCATCACAATTGATTTGACTCACATGTTCAGTAAAGATTAGGACATAGTTCAAAATGCTTACAAATTGCTTGGAGATTAGATCTTGGGAATCCTGCAGCTGTAATTACCTGATGTAAATCTGATGTCGGTGCACCAATCGTTTGGATATTCAGCGCAGTAAATCAGGTAGTACCCCTGGAGGAAGCCATTATAGATACAGAATAACATGCCAAAGAAAAGCAATTGCAGTGGGAAAGGTCTGCCTCTAGTGAAGAAGGGGTAAATAAATGTCCTAAGGTAAATAAGAAAACAAAGTCAGCACATTACTCATGATAACATTGTATTTGCAATTTCTCTGCTGTAGGAAAAAAACTTTAACAAAACACAAAATATAAAAAAGGTCAATAAAGATAAAAAAAAAAAGAAAACAACTGTAACAAAGTAAGATCAGCAACTAATGGGAACAAATAATACTGCAGATACCCACATTCTTCTGGTCCTTCAGGACTGAACACAAGGGGGGAAGCTAGAAATCTCATCCAGAGTCACTGCTGCCTTGGAAATGTCTCTCTGCCTTCCTTCTCCCTTGTTGGCAAAATGAGGAACTTCTGCCCACAAACAGCATTTTTGTTTTAAGACCTTGGCTGCCTTTTGCTGTAATGCTGCAGAGGGCAGAGCAAAGGATGCTGTGGAGGCACATGTGCATGCTGATGTTCAAACCAAAGTATTTCAGGGCAGTACTAATTGCAATATTGATTCCCCAGATGAGCACTGCTATGCCACAAGCACTGTGGAGGAGTTTTGTTATGGAGAAGACGTTTCTGCTCCCACTACGAGGACCAATCCCTGAGGGCTTTAGCCCACGGTGCCAGATGGAGTTGAAGGCAGTGTTGAGAGCCCTCTGGCTCTCTCATCCCCTGCAGTGTATAGCCTGAGGTGTAATCCCCTTTCCCAGACTCTCCTGCTCCACTCAGAGACCTCTGCTCATCCCCAACACACAGCTGCTATGTCCTGCTCCGCTTGGGCACTTCAATGCAGAGGCAGAGCAATGTTGTTGGCTGCTTGGAGGAGCTGCTTTGCCTCCACTCCCTGCCTCTCCTCCATGCTTTCAAACTTTTCTTTAAAATAAGAACAGCTAAAAACCTAAGTTTAATATGGTAAACACCAAGATTTCCATGCCGTTCCAGCACCTAGGGCTTCCTTAGACAAAAGCTGTGCTAACACTAGCATTAACATATGTAGGAGCAAATAGTTTGTGCTTGTATAGTTTTAATTTTCACATATCTTTGCTTCAGGTGGGTGTATCCCTCTTGACACATTGGACAATCCGTATCATCCCTGGGAGAGTGAAATGGAAAAGTTATATTTATATTTGTTAGGTGTTTTCTTATCTGGCCAATTAAGTTCTGCATGTTATAAAATCTACACTCTTAATTTCTTTCTTTTGCCCTGTTGGGCTTTGGATGGTGCTCATCATATCAGTATGTAAGCACTGTTGATAAGTAATCCACATTCCAGGTTGCCAATATCAACTTAAGCAAGCTGAGGCATAAAATTTCATCACATTATAAATCTAGATTAAATCTTACTGAGTGTGTCTGAAAGTGAGTAAGCAGAGTACAAGCAACAACATGTTAATGTATTCACTGCTTTCCAAAGCAAGGTAAGCCAGATTTCCAGCAATTAAGGCAGTTGTGATGCAGAAGTTCTAAATATTTCTAAATATAGTGAAATCTAAGAGGTATGCAAAAATATTTTTTAGACAGTGGTATCACATTTGTCATTTTTATTACAGTATAGAAAGGAATGCTCTTTGGAGTAATGTCACCAACAATTATCAGTTTTGCCCTTCGGGAATGGGATGCTGGAGTTACAAGTAGGCGAGGCCAGCTTTAGGAGTCCAACCTGCCTGTTGAAGTAATATTGACAAATTGGACCTGAACAGCCATGAGAAAAAGTGGGAAACTTGCTTATGGAAGCTTGGAAAAAGCAAATTGTATAGAAGAGAGAATAATATCAAACCGCACAAGGTTAATTTAGGAGGAAAATTTATACAGCAGATTGGAGTGGGACTCGCCCTGCTTTATCCTTTGTCAAAACCAGTTATGTTTGAGAGTCTCTTCATTTTTACAGTTGATGCAAACCGAAGTTTCTAGCATGAGCTGGCATTTCTCAGCTCCCAGCAAAGTTGATTATTGCTGTGGTGCTTCCCAGTGCTGCTGTTGCAGGATAAATGTTATAGGCCCTTGAAAGGTGACTTGTCCTGCAGTAACAGGAGGGCAAAAATCAGCTGTAGACCTATCTACCATGGATGCAGTGGATGCAGGACAGAAAGAACCAGCATGCAAATTATAAGTACAATCGCAGGGGAGCCAGGAGGCATTGGGGGGGGGGGATGTTGAGGGAATGAAATCCTGGCATTGCTGAAATCCCGCCTCATAGCAGTTTGAAAATCCAAGTCAGGAATTCATCCAAGAATCTTTGTTGTGGAACAACTTCTCCAAGGAAATCTGCTTGGGTCTGTAAATCCAGAGGCTGGATTTGTTTCTCTGTATCCAAACAATGCCCTAAGTCTTTGTTTTAATACAGTGCTTGTCAGCTTGTACTACATAGCTACTTGAGGGTACACAAACTATTCCTGATGGGTTTTGAAAAAGCAACTGAGATAAAACAGGGACATTTAAGAGGTTTAAATATTCCATGGAGGAGTCTGCATCTCTGCTAGAATTATTTTGCAGTGTGAAAATCAAAGGGGGACTGAAGGCCACCGTTTTAGAATAACAGAACAAAAACTGGCCTTTTGGATTTAGACCAATGATAAATTTGACCTTTTTCTTTCAGTGCAGTATTGATGACTAATCCTTTATTCCTTTATTGGTTTTGCTGGCCAAAGGCACTGCATCTGACTAAACCATTGCCAACAGCTTCTTTTAAATGAGTGAATAATAAATTATTCATCTTCTTTTCCATCATTTATTTTCCAGAAGACCAGGTTTTGAAGAGAAAATCATTTGACGTTGCATCAAATTTCATCTTAAAGGTATTAGTCCAGTTCCTTGAAAACTCCAGAGACCCTCACCCAAACTGGGGAAACTATAGGTTTGCTCTTCTTGCCACAGAAGGTGGAAAACTTTTCACAAAAGTTACCGTAATCCACTAAGGGTGGGCTCTCAGTTCTCCTCCAACAGCTTGTTGATTGAAGATGTTTATGCTGCTGCTGTGTCTTCTCCTCTCCAGGTGCCAGATGCAGTAGTTCAGATAGTAGCAGCTCATGTTTTCCAGTCTGGAAACTCGAGGTGTTTCCAGTGCTCATGAGGTGTTTTACACCTGGAGCAACTGGGTCAAGAGCTCAGGGCTGGCAGCTGGGGATGGGGGCGCCTGGCTCCCTCCCACCCATGCACTACATCACCCTGTGGGACACCAGCCTACTGCTGTATCTGCCCATCTAGCCCTCTGCCACCAGGCCCTCTCCCGGGCCTAACTGGGATGAACTAGAGGCCAGGAGTCAGAGATACTGCAATAGCAGGCAGGGCTGATGAGGTGTCTTTCCCTTTGAAGGAGGTGCTGCCCATAACCCAGCTTGTCCTACCCATGCCGGGGCACTGTCTGAATGCCCTGGCCCATCCCCTGTGACGCTGGCCAGCCTCCAGAAGAGAGTTATGGACTTCTGACCAGAGCTGCTCTGAGTCCCTGCTGGGATTTTTTCAGCTCCCCTTGGAGGACGATCCCCTGGTGAGGATGAACCAATGTGCTGAATGGTGCCTGAGAACCGTTTCCACAGGGTCTGGACTCCACACGCTCCAGTTCCTCACTTGTCCCACCCAGATGCACAGAAGGTGAGGAGGGCTGGTGGTCCAAGGGGGACCAGGCAGCCAGGCCCCCGTGAGGGTGATGCCTTCAGGGCCCTCACAGCTCACGTGTACGCTGAGCTGACTCCCCGGCCAGCTGGGGATGTGCATTGGAAAACGCTCCACTGAGCGGTGGGTACGGCCGCAATCATCCCAGGGGTCCTGCAGGGGGGTGAGCCGTGCCCCTCCTGCGGGGGAAAGACATCGAGAGCACATGTCACAGCCCCTTCTCTTGCTCCCCGAAACCCCCTTGCTGAGGTGCCATCTGCACTTCTCACCACTTTATTGGTTCCTTCTCAACCAAAGGCCTCTCTAAGTCAGAGGGCACCCTCCCCAGCTCCTTCCCCCTCTGTCCCTGGCCTTGCCAGCTGTCCAGGGCTCCTGGAGAGGGAAGGCTGATGGGAGCCATCCTGGTGGGCACAGGCCTGGTTTCCTCTCCCTGTCCTGCCTCTGTCTGGTTGCTCCTTGGTTGCTTTCAGGAAGGGATGGGTACTGTGGTGGGCACTCAGCTCTGATTTCACCTTTGGTGCTCTGTTTTTAGTTTTGACCCTTTGACTCACCCAGTCCTTTTTGTTGTCACTGTTTGGGACTATTATTATTTCCTCCATCATTATTTGGCCCCTCTCTAGACTCTTTGCTGCAGCTCCCTTCTTAGGGAGATGCTTTTGCTTTTCTTTGTTCAAATATCTGTACCACAGGAGATAGATAAGCAAAACTATATGTGATTTGTGTTACACTAACTACAGACCAGTCAGACCTGAAAGGACTTCCCTGGTATGAAACAGTGGAGTTCTCTTTGATCTGTCTTGTGAACAGGTTGGAAAGATTGCTGTCCAAACCTGGGGAGATTATACCAACCTCAAAACAGTTTTATTTGCACCGACAATTAACAGCATAGGAGTCTTTGCCATAGGTCATCACAGGAATCACATTGCTGGGGAGCTGCTGGCACCCTTGGCATACCTGACCACTCGGATGAAGGCTCAAGATGTTCACAGACATGATGGACTTCTGCCTGGGTGTCCTGGTTTCAGCTGGGATAGAGTTAATTGTCTTCCTAGTAGCTGGTACAGTGCTATGTTTTTGAGTTAGGTATGAGAAGAATGTTGATAACACTGATGTTTTCAGTTGTTGCTAAGTAGTGTTTAGACTAAAGTCAAGGATTTTTCAGCTTCTCATGCCCAGCCAGCGAGAAAGCTGGAGGAGCACAAGAAGTTGGCACAGGATACAGCCAGGGCACCTGACCCAAACTGGCCAACAGGGTATTCCATACCATGGGACGTCACGTCTAGTATAGGAACTGGGGGGTGTGGGGGCGAGGGGATTGCCGCTCAGGGACTAACTGGGCATCGATCGGCGGGTGGTGAGTAATTGCATTGTGCATCACTTGTATATTCTAATCCTTTTATTATTACTGTTGTTCATTTTATCATTTATTATTTAT